TCTTAGATAGTTATCAACACTTTGGTAGTGTATGGAAGGTGACTTTATATTGCCTCGAGCATAAATAACAACAGTATTTAAAACCATGTTACTTCAAGAGAAAAAAGATTAAAAAGAATATTTTTGGTAAGGCTTAGTATACTTTGAAAACACCAAGGTACTTCATGAGCAAATATATAAACAACCATAAAACAAATATTCACAAAATACCCAGCATAGAAAAAATTTAATGTAGATTGTATAATAAACCTTTTCTCTGGAACACAATCTAGGCCAATTGCTCTAACTCTTTTTTTCAATTTCTTTGATAATTTGATGAGGCTATAGAATAGTTTTTATAATAGATTATAGCAGAATAAGAAGATGAAAATTTTCTCAAAAAATAATATTTTCCCAAGATAATTAGCTGTGGCATATTTGTATGTGTAGTAGAAAAGTTTTATTTAGAAAATAGGAAATAATGGAACCCCGGTGACCAGAAGACTCTACAAACACAGCTCGAGTATGCGGGAACGAGGACTTTTTCTCAAATCTGCCGGACTACACCTCCCAGGTAACCTCTGATTCCGGAAGTCACGCCCACAGCCGGGCCCCCAGCGCCATCTTTGAAGCGTTCAGCATAAGAGAAGGAACACATGGAGGATGCGGGATCCCGGAGGGAAAAAAAAAAAGAAAAAACAGGTTCCAAAAAGAGCCGAGATCACCGGCAAGTTCCAGATGGAGTAGGTGCCGCATCCCGCCTCCCCCAGATGGAACCCCGGTGACCAGAAGCCTCTACAAACACAGCTCGAGTATGCGGGAACGAGGACTTTTTCTCAAAACTGCGCGGCCGCTTACGCGGCCGCGCGACATCTCTCTATATACAACGTGATCAATGAGAAGTGAACGACCCAATCTTTCTCCCTGAAAATCAGAGTTAAGTTTGGAGCACGGCCACAGCCCCAGAAACACAAGGACTTAATGCAGAACCCAGCAGCTTAGAGCAGAAAAGTGAACGGACGATGAGTTAACCCAGGCCATCATTTCTGCCCAGAGGGGAAAGGGTGTTGCCCCATTCGCCCTCTCTTCTCTGGAAAGAAGGATGGCGGCCGCATGGGAGCCTTGTGGACAGCAGGTATGAGCCGGGGGTGTGGGGGCGACTAAAACCTCATGGGAAGGGGGGCGTTCCGGTCTGTCCTTCACGCCCTACCGAGGTCACCAGTTGCCCCCCACGAGCGGCTCTCCAGCACGGCCACAGCCCCAGAAGCACAAGGGCTTAATGCAGAACCCAGCAGCTTGGAGCAGAAAAGTGAAAGGACTATGCGTTAATCCAGGCAATCATTTCTGCCCAGAGCGGAAAGGGTGTTGCACCCTTCCGCCCTCCTCCCTCTGGAAAGAAAGATGGCGGCCACATGGGAGCCTTGTGGACAGCAGGTATGAGCCGGGGGTGTGGGGGCAACTAAAACCTCATGGGAAGGGGGGCGTTCCAGTCCGTCCTTCACGCCCTACCGAGGTCACCAGTCACCCCCCACGAGCGGCTCTCCAGCACAGCCACGGCCCCAGAAGCACAAGGACTTAATGCAGAACCCAGCAGCTTGGAGCAGAAAAGTGAAAGGACTATGCGTTGATCCAGGCCATCAAGTCTGCCGGAGGGGAAAGGGTGTTGCCCCATTCGCCCTCTCCTCTCTGGAAAGAAAGATGGCGGCCACATGGGAGCCTTGTGGACAGCAGGTATGAGCCGGGAGTGTGGGGGCGACTAAAACCTCATGGGAAGGGGGGCGTTCCGGTCCGTCCTTCACGCCCTACCGAGGTCACCAGTTGCCCCCAACGAGTGGCTCTCCAGCACGGCCATAGCCCCAGAAGAACAAGGGCTTAATGCAGAACCCAGCAGCTTGGAGCAGAAAAGTGAAAGGACTATGCGTTAATCCAGGCAATCATTTCTGCCCAGAGGGGAAAGGGTGTTGCGCCCTTCCGCCTTCCTCCCTCTGGAAAGAAAGATGGCGGCCACATGGGAGCCTTGTGGACAGCAGGTATGAGCCGGGGGAGTGGGGGCGACTAAAACCTCATGGGAAGGGGGGCGTTCCGGTCCGTCCTTCACGCCCTACCGAGGTCACCAGTTGCCCCCCACGAGCGGCTCTCCAGCACAGCCACGGCCCCAGAAGCACAAGGACTTAATGCAGAACCCAGCAGCTTGGAGCAGAAAAGTGAACGGACTATGCATTGACCCAGGCCATCAAGTCTGCCGGAGGGGAAAGGGTGTTGCCCCATTCGCCCTCTCCTCTCTGGAAAGAAAGATGGCGGCCACATGGGAGCCTTGTGGACAGCAGGTATGAGCCGGGAGTGTGGGGGCGACTAAAACCTCATGGGAAGGGGGGCGTTCCGGTCCGTCCTTCACGCCCTACCGAGGTCACCAGTTGCCCCCCACGAGTGGCTCTCCAGCACGGCCATAGCCCCAGAAGCACAAGGGCTTAATGCAGAACCCAGCAGCTTGGAGCAGAAAAGTGAAAGGACTATGCGTTAATCCAGGCAATCATTTCTGCCCAGAGGGGAAAGGGTGTTGCTCCCTTCCGCCCTCCTCCCTCGGGAAAGAAAGATGGCGGCCACATGGGAGCCTTGTGGACAGCAGGTATGAGCCGGGGGTTTGGGGGCGACTAAAACCTCATGGGAAGGGGGGCGTTCCGGTCCGTCCTTCACGCCCTACCGAGGTCACCAGTTGCCCCCCACGAGCGGCTCTCCAGCACAGCCACGGCCCCAGAAGCACAAGGACTTAATGCAGAACCCAGCAGCTTGGAGCAGAAAAGTGAACGGACTATGCATTGATCCAGGCCATCAAGTCTGCCGGAGGGGAAAGGGTGTTGCCCCATTCCCCCTCTCCTCTCTGGAAAGAAAGATGGCCGCCACATGGGAGCCTTGTGGACAGCAGGTATGAGCCGGGGGTGTGGGGGCGACTAAAACCTCATGGGAAGGGGGGGCGTTTCGGTCCGCCCTTCACGCCCTACCGAGGCCACCAGTTGCCCCCACGAGCAGCTCTCCAGCACGGCCACAACCCCAGAAGCACAAAGACTTAATGCAGAACCCAGCAGCTTGGAGCAGAAAAGTGAAAGGACTATGCGTTAATCCAGGCAATCATTTCTGCCCAGAGCGGAAAGGGTGTTGCTCCGTTCCGCCCTCCTCCCTCTGGAAAGAAAGATGGCGGCCACATGGGAGCCTTGTGGACAGCAGGTATGAGCCGGGGGTTTGGGGGCGACTAAAACCTCATGGGAAGGGGGGCGTTCCGGTCCGTCCTTCACGCCCTACCGAGGTCACCAGTTGCCCCCCACGAGCGGCTCTCCAGCACAGCCACGGCCCCAGAAGCACAAGGACTTAATGCAGAACCCAGCAGCTTGGAGCAGAAAAGTGAACGGACTATGCATTGATCCAGGCCATCAAGTCTGCCGGAGGGGAAAGGGTGTTGCCCCATTCCCCCTCTCCTCTCTGGAAAGAAAGATGGCCGCCACATGGGAGCCTTGTGGACAGCAGGTATGAGCCGGGGGTGTGGGGGCGACTAAAACCTCATGGGAAGGGGGGCGTTTCGGTCCGCCCTTCACGCCCTACCGAGGCCACCAGTTGCCCCCACGAGCAGCTCTCCAGCACGGCCACAACCCCAGAAGCACAAGGACTTAATGCAGAACCCAGCAGCTTGGAGCAGAAAAGTGAAAGGACTATGCGTTAATCCAGGCAATCATTTCTGCCCAGAGGGGAAAGGGTGTTGCTCCGTTCCACCCTCGTCCCTCTGGAAAGAAAGATGGCGGCCACATGGGAGCCTTGTGGACAGCAGGTATGAGCCGGGGGAGTGGGGGCGACTAAAACCTCATGGGTCGGGGGGCGTTCCGGTCCGTCCTTCACGCCCTATCGAGGTCACCAGTCGCCCCCCGCGAGCGGCTCTCCAGCACGGCCATGGCCCCAGAAGCACAAGGACTTAATGCAGAACCCAGCAGCTTGGAGCAGAAAAGTGAACGGACTATGCGTTGATCCAGGCCATCAAGTCTGCCGGAGGGGAAAGGGTGTTGCCCCATTCGCCCTCTCCTCTCTGGAAAGAAAGATGGCGGCCACATGGGAGCCTTGTGGACAGCAGGTATGAGCCGGGAGTGTGGGGGCGACTAAAACCTCATGGGAAGGGGGGCGTTTCGCTTCGCCCTTCACGCCCTACCGAGGCCACTGGTTGCCCCCCGCGAGCGGCTCTCCGGCACGGCCACGTCTCCAGTGCACAGAGACCAATTTCTTAACTATCTGACTTTCAGTAGAAATACTTCCAGGGTCAATAGGTAAAATAGCAGAAATCCAAAACCAACATTTAATTCTTGAACCCAGCTGTAGAAAGCAAATCACTTCACAATGCTTTTTCAGCATGTCTGATTTGGGGGGGGTAAACTCTAAATAATAGTGGTGAATCTTTTATTGAAACAATGAATCTAATCAAAGCAGATAGAGTGTTAACTAGAATTCATCTGCCTCACAGGGACGGGGAGGGGTGGGGGGTGTGGTTTTATTGGGGTTCTTCATGGTAAAAAATAAGTATTGGTAAAGGGAAATGTGTTTGATATTTGCATGACTGAGACATAAACCTGAAAGCTTTGTAACCTTTCCCACAGTGATTCAATAAATAAATAAATAAAAAGAAAATATGAAATAGGGGAGACAGAGAGAAGAGACCTTATAACATAAATAATGAACATAGTCTGAGTTAGAATGTGTGGACTATTCCAATATGGACTGCACCGAGCTATGCTATTTGAAGGGTGTTCATTGATTCCTTGAAATTTCTCCATGGGGCTCTTGCTCTATGGAGAGGAGCTGTGGTTTTATTTATATTCTACGTTTCTAAAAGACAAGGAAGACCCCACAAACTGACCTGTCCTAAAGGCTGAAAAGCAAAGTGTCTCTTTGAGGTGTCATAGAAGATAACTGACTGAGATAATGTAACTAGAAGTAACTGATGTTGGTATGAAAGGGGCACAATGATCTGATATTTTGTCACTTACCTGTCTAGAGTCCTGACACGAGCCTGCTCTACTCTGTTGAGGATGTTCAAAGGAGACTTATTTTTGTTCCAGAAAGCACCCCAGCCTAGGATGCGGGCCAAATCGTTGCCTGTTCCAAGCGGGACGACTGCTAGCTGACACTGCAAACACAAAAGTAGGCACTATTTTCAGATAGTTCTATAAATAACCATCAAAAACCCATGCAAATTGCTTTTGGGGGAAATGAATTGTTCTCAGAGTTAGTGGCAATAAGGAACTTTCTGATTCTTAGTCAAGTGGAATTTTCTCTAATAAGTTGGTCCTCAATTGAAACACAAATCTTATTCAGAAGGGGATAGTTTGCAGGAATATGTTAATATCTAAGTCATTCTTTTTTTCTGGTTGGAGCCTTGGGTTTTAGGGACAAACCTGGTAGGGCTCAGGGCTTGTTCCTAGTTCTGTGCTTAGGGATCACTACTGTCGGTGCTTGGGGAACGGTAGGTGGTACCGGGGATCAAACCTAGGCTGAATGCCAGTGTTCAAGGCAAGCTCTCTACTTAGTGTGCTATTGTTTTGGCACTTTTATTCTTATAAAAGATAAATTTGGCACAAAATTCTAGTTAGTCAATGCTAAGAAGGTGAATGTCAATGGGAATATGGCTGTTATAGTCAGAATATCATGGGGCTTCTTAGGGAGATCTGGGTGAGGTAAAACAAAATTTCTGCTACTCCTGTGACTCAGGACAGGTAGGAAATTGGAGAGTGAGTGCTATGAGATAACTTCTTTTTTGTTTGCTCTTCTCTTTAAGGCACTGGTAATAGAATACTGCTTATTCTTTCTGCTAACCTCTGCATTCATACCCACAGATAGATGAAAAATAGTCTAAGTGAGTAGTCTTAGATTGGGAATCTACCAGTAAATTTGATTAAAAAACAAGTAGAATACATGTATTTTACAGACAGAGTGAGAGAAAACCAAGGGCACCTTGGATGAATAGCCCTGTTTTCCCAGTCTCTCTAGAAATGGCTAAATTGAGTGAGTCAGGAACTTACCCTTTCATGTAATCCAAAGTCATCAATCACCGATAAGACCCAGCTTATGCTACCATCTCCACCACAAACTACAATACGAAAGCGAGCAAAATTTTTGAACATGCAGAGCCTGGAATAAAGAAAGGGAAATAGGCATCATGTCATGAACCTCTGGATTTTACAACTCTTTATTACAATATTCCAACTGTTGCTTTTATGCCCTGAAAACAGGCTACCTGCCTTCTTATTGTAGCCTGTAATCATTATGCTTCTATGTACTTAATACAACAGATTGCATTCACACTGGAAAGCATGGATAATAGGCATACCCTTATTTCCACATTTTCTGTACTTGATCTTGCTCTGGAAGCTATAGTAACTTAGCAAAACACACTTGCTGAGGCTCAGGAAGAATGCTTTGCAATTTGATTGGTGGGCTCAGAGAAAATATGACTAAACAGTGAGAAAAGGTGGAGCAAATCTGAGAGCAGGACATGAACTTTAAAGGATTTCTGGGAAAAGGTTAAAAACCCTTCAATCAGCCAACCCAAAATGCTTCACAGTTATGTGTTTGTATCGTAAATTGAGAAAACAAGCATTATAGGCAAGCAGTGTAATACTGCACTCAGATATTACAAATGATTCCAGGAATTCTATTTAGAATTTATAGAAGAATTCTTTCTGTATGCCCAATTTTAAACCTTTGCTCCATGCTTACCCGGCTTCTGGTCCACCCTTCGATAGGTCAAAAACTTGAGATGGGTTGAGGTATTGCTTGAATTTCCTGAGAAAGACGACCCCCTGGTGATCACCGCTTTTTGAATTGATGAAGATGAGAAGGGGACATGAACAGGGTGATGACCAATCAAGATTCCAGAAGTCTGATGATATTACTAATTGACCTGAAACATGAGGAGCAAAAAGAGAAAAAGGGCCGTTGAGATGGAAACTATGCACATCAAATTTTTCAAAAATATTTTTCAATCAACTTTATTGAGGTATAATTAATATACAGAAACTGAACATATTCAACATTACAATTTAAAGAGTTTAAATATATGCAAATATCCATAATACTGTTGTAATAATCAAAGTAGTACATAAACATATCTAGTACCTCCCCGAGTTTAATTTCACCACAGAATTCTGAGACTGAAGAGCAGAGGAAAAGTCAATACAGAACCCAAAAACAATTTTATCAAAAGTATGCCAGTTTCTATCAGGTAAATGTTGAGCAACTGCTATATACAAACAATCAAGCAAGACATTGTTAGGGATACAGTCTTTGTCATCAAGTTGCAGAGATGTACACATGTCACAAGAGTGATGTAACGCAAGGAATCTGGAAGTTGGTGCCACAACCAAAGATCAACAAATACTGTGGGTGAGGGTTGGAGAGATAGTATAGTGGGTTGAGCACTTGCATGCAAGCAGATCTGCTTGGGATAACTCGTTTTTATTGTAAGATCACAAGAGGTGGAAAAATATAAGAGACACCTTAGGCAGAAATTAATGTCAGAAAAAAGCAATATGGGGAGAAGCATAGAGATTTAATTATTCCTCTAAGGCTCTGGTTAAGCAATCCAAATCATCACACCAACTTTTACAGTGAACACGACTATTGGGAATTAGTATAAACAAGACAGAAGTTTTTAATAATCCCCAACATATAAGTTATCATCAGAGAAGTGGTTATAGCAGTCTAAATTGCCAAAGCCTGCCAATTCATACTGATTATTAAAGAAAGTTAGTGAGGAGATAGGCAGTGAGCAATGTCCCACTAGGACATTCAAGACAAATAAAAAGGCCCCAAGACTCTGAGCTCATGGCTTGCCAGATGTACCAGCAAAAATAAATGCAAAGAAAAAAATGTGTGGTTCATTCCAAAATGTGGTGAGGATCAGGATGAGGATAAGGGTTATGATGACCAATTTGTTATAACCTGGGCAAAAGGATGTCTAAAGGAAAACTGCCAGCTTGAACAGATTTCATTACTATTTTTACTTGAAAAATATAAATGATGATTTCTCTGTAGGATTTGTACTAGTCAATGGCCAGCAAAACTTTGAGGCATCCTGAGACAGTCATTTTGATGTTTTAGTACTTTTTAGAACTCACAGCTACAAGGGGACACTACTTTCTCCCCTCAGTATCATAACTTAGAAGTACTCGCCAAGAATATATTATTCAAACATAGCGCCATTCTCAACATTTTAAACATTGTTGTTTTGAAAGATTCATGGTACACAACTCCCTACTTTTGTGGAGCTTATGTACTAATTGAGAAGATGCACCATAACAAATAAATATAGAAAATTATGTGATAAGAAGAAAAGTAAAGCAGCATAAACAGATGGGGGAGAGAGAAATGTAGGGAGATGTTATTTGTTAGGATAATAAAGGATGTATTCTCCAGGGGATAACATTTGAGATTAGTATTGAACAAAGTGAAGATGTGAAAAATTAAGACATCTGAAAGAAGTTTTCAGAGTAAGTGCTAAGACAAGAGAAGGTACACTGTCTGGTGTGGGGGGGCAGTGAAGAGGAGAGTAGGGCTGTTGTGGAGTCAGTAAAGGGAAGAGTAGCAGAAGAGGTTAGAGAGGTGACAGAGATCAGAAAGCATGACATGATGTAAAAGGGAGCAGTTGTAAAAGAAATAAGTGAAATTATGAGTTTTAGTAAGTAAAATTCATGTCACGTTTGCCTGATCCTTATATTTTTCCTTAAACCATAATGTCTCTATGTCTCATTTAATCTTTTAAATCCCCACAAAACTAAACAAAGAATCAGTTTTACTTGCCTCTGATTTCTCTGCTAACATCTCTAGAACTCCTTTAGGAGACTCTTAACAAATTTTACTCTGGGTGCATTGATATAATTTCTGAATTATTTCTGTGCAACCTCCTACAATTAATTGAAACTTCTTTAAAAATTGTTTTAGGACCCGCACCCCCCTGCCATCTTCCACCCCCAGAGCGCCAAACTTAAGTCTTCCATCTGGTATATGGGCCCCTACCGTCGCCCTCCCCCGATCTAGCTATGCAGCATATCTTTTAAACCTCTAACCATAAAACCGTGTTTTTGCTAACGTGTCTGCATGAATAAGTTATTTTTCACACCCCACATTTGAGGTACTAGTTAACCCAGGCTTTACATACACCTATCAATAAGCCATGGCAATGCACAAAGGTAGCCCAATTGCAGGGGAAAAACATACAACAACACGAAAAAAAAAGACCCTGCAAAACAGAAAGATGACTGCGTTAAAACAACACAGAAACTCACCAAGCCTAATGATTGAAGTTGGTATCCCAGATAAATCAAAGAGTAATAATGAACTCTATAACCTCTCAGAAAAAGAATTTTAAATGGAGCTTTAAAGGACGTATAAGGAGTTCAAAGAAACAATGGAAGACACTAATGATAAAATATAAGAGGATATGAATGCAGAGGTGAATAAAATGCAAAGAAAAATATAAGTAGAATTGACAGACCTAAAAAACTTCATAGGTGAAACGAAAAACTCAGTGGAAGACCTCAGCAACAGAGTAATAGCTGCTGAGGACAGAATGAGTGAGCTCCAAGATGAGGTGCAGAGAATCTAAGGACAACAGCAGAAAATAAAAAAGAGCCTTAAAATAAATGAACAGATGTCAAGAGAAAATCGGGATGAAGCCAAGAGGAATAACGTAAGAATCATTGGAACCCCACAGCGAGAGGAAGAAAACCATGACGAAGAAGAAACTATCACAATATAATTGCTATCATATCCAAAGATGACGAGTACATGCAATCAGATTTAGGAAGCCCGAAGAGTACCAGCTAAAAGAAACAAAAATAAAAATACTCCAAGACACATCCTGTCAGAATGATGAAAACCATAGACAGAGATAAAATTCTGAAAACAGAATATCAAAAAGAGAAATTACTTATAAAGGAGGATCCTTAAGATTCACAGAAAACCAATCCAATGAAATCCCAAAGGCCTGAAAACATTGCTGGGATATAGTGAACAAACTCAATGAAAGAAGTGGATCACCTAGAATACCTTACACAGCTAGACTCTCATTCATATAAGAAGAAATAACACACAGTTTCACAGACAAACAACAACTTGGGAACTTCATAGCCTCAAAAGCATGGCTACAACCAATGGGCTACTTTAGAGACAAGACAAGCCCCTCAAATACACCAAACTTTGGTAGAAAGATGGCACAAAACCCATAACAATATTCTCCCTCAATGTCAATGGCCTAAATGCACAAATTTAAAGACACAGAATGACAAGATGGATCAAAAATTGAACACAACATTCTGCTGCCTGCAAGAAACACATCTTAACAGTCAGAGCAAACACAGATTCAAAGTGAAAGGATTGGAAACAATCAACAACTCCCTCAAAAAAGCTGGAGTGGCCATTCTAATATCAGACCACATAGACTTCAGACTGAAGAAGGCTACAAGAGACAGTGAAGGTCACTTCTTAATGGTCAAAGGATCTGTATACCAGGAAGAACTCACACTCCTAAATATACATCACCTAATGAGGAACCAGCAAAATATTTAAAATGACTGCTCATAGAGTTGAAGAAAGACATCGATAGCAACACAAGAGTTTGATATTTCAACACTGATTTATCACCTCTTAAGAGATCAACATACTCAAGCTCAGCAAGGACATACTTTATCTTAAGGAAGAAATGAAAGGTATGGGTTGAGAAGGTATATATATATGTATATATATGACATATCATAACCCCCAAAGCTGAATACACATTCCTCACAAGTGCACATGGGACATTCACCAAGATAGACCACACGGTGGGCCACAAAACATACCTCTATAAAATAAAGAGGACAAAAATTATATCAATGATCTTTTCAGACAAGATGCACTGAAAATCGAAGTGAATCACAGTCAGAAACAGAAATTCAAACCAAAACCTAGAAACTAAACAGATCACTACTGACCAATGAATGGCTTAGAAATGAAATCAAAGAGGAAATAAAAAGATACCTGGAAATGAACGAGAATGAAGACACAAGTAACCAGAAACTCTGAAAAACAGCAAGAGCTGTGTTAAGAAGAATGTTTGTAGCTCTAAAAGCATTCCTTGGGAATGAAGAACAAGCCCACATAAGTAACTTAACTTCACAGATTAAGAACTTGAAGAATGACCAGCAAAAGGATCCCAAACCAGACAGAAGGAAAGAAATAATAAGACTTAGAGCAGAAATTAATTACATGGAAACACAAAAAACAATACAAAAGATCAGTGAAACCAAGAGAAGGTTCTTTGAGAAAATAAAAATATGGATAAACCACTAGCATGGATAAACAAGGAAGGAGAAATAGAGATCACTAATAAACAGGATCTGAAACAAAAAGGGAGACATCACAACAGAACCCACAGAAATTCAAAGGATAGTCAGAGACTATTTTGAAAAGCTTTATGCTAAGAAACTAGAAAACCTTATATGTGGGTATAAAGAAACATAATGGGAAAATAGCAAATACCCAGAAAAAACAGAACCAAATATCATGATAACTCATATTATATGGAAAATATGCCACCTGAGGGTGCTCTGGGATAGGGTAGAGGTGGGAGGAGCAACAACTATGGTGGTGAGAAGCATTCAATATGGAGGAAAAGGTGATTCTGAAAGGTAGTAAAGTGTTATTCATAAAACTCTCAGCGAAGGTATTGTAGGTTACAGTGCATAAACATATATATTAAAAGTGCCTCTTGCTTAGGCAGACTAACTGGTGGGTGAGAGGCAAATGCACTGTAGGTGGGGGAGCAGTGGGGTTAATTGGAGGGAAGTGGGTACTGGTGAAGGCATTAATGTTGAAACATTATATGACTTAAGCCCAATCATGAACAACTTTGTAACAGTTTATATCACTCTGATTCAATAAAAAAGTGTCTGCCTTATGGGGCTGGAGCAATAGCACAGTGAGTAGGGAGTTTGCCTTGCACACGGCCGACCCGGGTTTGATTCCCAGCATCCCATATGGTTCCCTGAGCACCGCCAGGAGTAATTTCTGAGCGCATGAGCCAGGAGTAACCACTTAGCATCACCGGGTGTGACCCAAAAAGCAAACAAAAAAAAGTGTCCACCCTAGAAGCAGACTTGGGGGTGGGGGTGGAAGGAGGGAAATTGGAGGTGGAAAATGTACACTGGTGAAGGCATGGGTGTTGGAACATTGTATGACTGAAACCAAATCATGGACAACTTTATAACTGTTTATCTCATGCTGATTTAATGAAATAAAAATTGTTTTAATTGAATCATCATGATACAAAATTACAAAGTTGATAATGATTGAGTTTCTATCATTCAATGTTCCCATTGATACTGTCTGATCTCTAAGCATTTTATGGTCCCTAAAGTATTTCTCCTTAATCTTTCAATTGTTATATCAATATCCTGGGTCTACAATAACCATAAGCTCTGCCAATGCTCATGTATTTGTAGCCTTTAGGTCACTTTATAGAGTACTAAATAAATAATACATCTCCAAAAATTGACAAGGTATCAAAGAAGCTTATTGAGAAAATAGTTGTGTTTGTTTCAAATTTGGGTAGGGTAGGGCTTTTGCCTTGCACACGGCTAACCGGGTTTGATTCCTCCACCCCTCTCGGAGAGCCCGGCAAGCTACCGAGAGTATTCCACCCACACGACAAAAGCCTGGCAAGCTACCCATGACTTATTCGATATGCCAAAAACAATAACAACATGTCTCACAATGGAGACATTGTGCCCGCTTGAGCAAATCAGTGAACAACGGGAGGACAGTGCTACAGTTTCGAATTTAGTGATGACTTTGATGTTAGTGTCTATTTTAAAAGCAACATAACCTAGGCGTTCATATAGTATTTCCTTGATACAGCTCTTTCTAGTGCCTTAAAACCATGAAAATTCTTAAATCAATTCTTATGATTCAGAAACAAGTGTGACAGTGACTAGAGAATACGCTCACATATATATATATATACATTATAAAATTTAGCATTCATTATTTGAAGGTCTAAAGAGAAAAGTTATCTGTTTCTACACACGCACATTCCTACTCCCCTAAAATATTTGGCTAGTCCAGAATAGTTAAGTTAAATAGCAGTAATTTTCTACATCTTTACACTTTAACTCCCACCCCGATGTATTTCTGAAGGTAACGTTTGTTACTCACCATCCCCTTTGGGATCGCTGATAGCTGTGGGAGGGATGATGGATGGATGATGACTCCCACAGCAGCATTCCTTGGAAAACCACCGCCTGCAGTCATCATGCACCTGGAATGACAGGAGAACAGACGATAGAGGAATAGAGAGAGGACAGGGGAGAGAAGAGAAAACAATGTTTAGTTTCGAGTTCCAATTCCAAAATTTGAGTTACTAATATTCAAATCTTCCTTCTTAACTTCTGTGCATACATATCCCACTGACTCAACCTAGATGCCCCTACCTCCAATTTGCACCATCCCTGAGTATGGCCTCTAAACTTTGCTGTCGTAAGGTAGTTTTCAGTAGATATCCATGACAGTACCTGAGAGTATACCAATCCCGGGTCCCAATCTTAGTGGCCCACAGAATGACGAATTTTCAGTATTAGTGCTAATCCAATGACATGCTATTATGCTTCTATCCTCATTAAAAAACAGTAAGTTCGGGAAGACATTACTGAGCTCATTTTAATATTAGAAAAATATTTTTTTTATTTAGTACAAGAAGGAGAGTGAGAAACAATGATCATCCAAAAGATATCAGAACTTGTTATAGGCAATACAGAAACTTTAAATTATATTACATGTCCAGCCTATCTTTTACAGTAAGTTTCACTTAACACCATTGTGTGTGTGTGTGTGTGTATATATATATATATATATATATATATATATATGAATCACTGTAAGATACAGCTACAGACTTACAAATTTTAGTGATTACATTTTAGTCATACAATGATTGAGTGCCCATCCCTCCAACAGTGCCCATTCTCCACCACCAATGTTCCCAGTACGGGGAATGTGGTGAGCTCATTTTAATAGGAGGGTAGTAAAAAGAGGTAAAGGGATTTTCCCTGTTGCCTACTGAGCAACTAAAAGAATGCTTGATTTTTCATTCCCCCTTTGTCCTGTTCAAAGCTGGGCAGCTTCCCAGTACAGGCAGTTTCAGTTTGGGGAAAATGCACTCTCGTAAATGATTTGTAAATGATGTATGAGGAACAGCACAATCTTTGCAGATATGTCAAAGCTATATCAAAGCAGGTCGTTCCGACCAATAGCATTATGTTGAAAGGGTCACCAGGTGGCTGACCAATGGTGCATGGCTCTGCTCATTGTCCCATCCACTTTCCCATGTCCCATCCCCTTTCCTTTCTTTTGGGTGGGCTGTGGAAACATACTTAAGTCTGTACCTATGCTCTGAATAAACGCACGCATGCATGCCATCTCCTGAATGACGGAACCCTGTGTGACTCGAGTGCTGATTTCACCCTGACAGCCCTCCCCTGGCTCGGCCCTGCAGCGCCAGACGCGGCATTCCCAAGGTTGATCAATTGGGAAGTGACAGAACTGAATCACTGATGCCTTTCCTGACAGTGGCCATTTTGCCCAGGTTTCTGACACCTACAATCACTCCTACCAGGACAACCACACAATTTCTATAGAACATGGACCTAGAATGATTATGCAATGTTAATAAAAAGAAAGCCAGAGGACAACTAGGGTTTCATTTCCTTTTTATTGAGACAAAATCAGCACATAACATTAATTTCAGATATAGATCATGAATGGATATATGTATATACTATGATATGATCACTATAAAAAGTCTAGTTAACATTCATAAACATAGATAGTTATAGTTTTTCTTGCGATGAAAACTTTTGACATCTATTTGCTTAATTTTCAAATACACAACAAAAGTTATTAGCTAGAATCACCATGCTGTATATTGTAGTACTGTAGCACTGTCTTCCTGTTCATCGATTTGCTCAAGCGAGCATCAGTAACATCTCAACTATGAGGCTTGTTGTTATAGTTTTTGGCATATTGAATACGCCACGGAGAGCTTGCCAGGCTCTGCCATGCGGGCGGGATACTATCCGTAACTTGCTGGGATCTCCGAGAGGGGCGGAGAAATCGAACCCGGGTCGGCAGCGAGCAAGGCAAATAACCTACCTGCTGTACTATTACATACTTAAAGGGCTTGTCAATGGAAGTTTGTATCTTGTACCCCCTTTCACTCATTTCTCCCACATCTGCCTCTGGAAATCACAAATCTCTCTCTCTATATATATATGTATAATATGTAAAATAAATCATATTCTCTTAATACATTTATTCACTAATGGACACTCAGATTTTTTCTATATCTTGATTATTACATGATTCTACAATGAATATATATCTTTTGGTTAGTGTTTTGTGAGAAATGTAATTGCTGGATAACATGGAAATTATATTTTTAAGTTTTAGGAAATTTCATAATATTTTTAATAGTATCTTCACCAATTTATATTTCCATCAACAGTGCACAGGAGTGTCTTTTCTTCACATCTTTTCAAGCATCTATTTTACTCATTTATTTTTGCCATTTTTTCTTGTGCTGCAGTTGGTTCCACATAAGATTATCATATTATGTTTTATTTCATCTTAAATCTATGGTTTCAGGTCTTTATTCAATATTGACTTTATTTTTACATATGATGTAAGCGATAGCACAGCGGTAGGGCATTTGTCTTGCACGCAGCCAACATGGCTGACCCGAGTTCGATTCCTCCGCCCCTTTCGGAGAGCCCGGCAAACTACCGAGAGTATCTCGCCCACACGGCAGAGCTTGGCAAGCTACCCGTGATGTATTCGATATGCCAGACAGAGTAACAACAAAGTCTCCAATGGAGACGTTACTGGGCCCACTCGAGCAAATCGACAAACAACGGGAGGGCCTTTACCTTTACCTTTACCTTTACCTTTATGATGTAAGATAGTGGCCTAATTATTATTATTTTTGCAAATGGCGTTTCCATTTTTCTTGCCCCACTTTTGGAAGAGGCTATTCTTGTTAGATATTTTATTTGTTTTGATGAAATTATAAATAAGATTGTTCTTTATTTAAACATTACGATTTACAATGTTTTCAAGATACAGCTGTTTCAGACATTTAGCGACCTAACACCAATCCTCCACCACTGTTCCACTTTTATCAACCAAGTCCCAAGTCCCAATTCTGCATCCATGGCAGGAAAAAAATAATTTGTTTTCTATTGCTTTTAACAACAAAACGGTAAGTGAAATTATCAAAATATAATTCAATAAAAGAAAAATTGTGACAATTGTTCTATCTCACAACAGGGTTATTAAAGTCATTGAGTATTTACTGAGCTGTTTTCCCTTAGTTGATCCTTCTGTGCTGTTTAATGGTTTGTTTGTTTCTTTCTTTTTATTTATTTTGCTTATTGAGCTTAATTGGCTTCGATGTTACATTCCCATTTAATTCGTTTTTCTCCTACTGAACTATCAGTACTGTGGAATTTGGTGGTGTTCCACGCTTGCTGCATATATGGCTGCATGCTTCAGGAGCTCTAGGATCTGTAGAACTGGAATCATTGTTGGCCTGCCCCCTCCAAGAAGGCTCCGAAGCTTTCATTCTCAAAACCAGTGTACCTGTGACTTTCATCGTCTTGGCATCTCTTCTGAGATTACTTGTGAAGCTGTGAAGGTGGAACGTTTGTATGGAAGGGGATGTGGGGTGTAGGTATGTCTGTCTGTGGAGGTTCCAACAGGGTGGGGACTTGTCCTTCGCCCCTCCTAAGGAGGTGTCAAGAGTTTTCCGCCTGGAGACCGGTGTACCTGTGAATTTCATTGACTTAACTTGGCGTCTTTTTTTGAGTTTAGTCCTGAAGCTGTGATGCTGGGATATTTACATGGCAGTGGCTGTGGAATCTTTCTTTCTTTCTTTCTTTCTTTCTTTCTTTCTTTCTTTCTTTCTTTCTTTCTTTCTTTCTTTCTTTCCTTCCTTCCTTCCTTCCTTCCTTCCTTCCTTCCTTCCTTCCTTCCTTTATTCCTTTCCTTCTTCTTCCTTTCTGTTTCTGTGTCATACTTGGTGGGGTTCAAGACTTACCTATGGCTCTGTGCTTAGAAATTATTCCTGTGGTCTTCTGAGGACTATATGTTTATTTTTAAGATTTAAAAAAATTAATCAATGTTAGATCGATCCTTACAAAGGATCACTATTAGGTTTCAGTCATACGGTGCTTCAACATCCATCCCTCCGCCAGTGTACATTTCCCAGCACCAGTGTCTCGAGTTTGCCTTCTCCCCCAGCTCATGAGACAGGCAATCACCCCATACAACCCCCAGCCTGCCTCAATGACAGACACTTTCCTTCTCTCTCTCTTTCTTTCTCCATTTTGGACATTGTGTTTTGCAATATGGATCCTGAAAGGTTTCCAGTATAAGGTAGGTAGGTTTTACCTACTTTTAAGACTCAGTTCATGCTCTGTGAGAACATTTCCAGCTATTGTTGTCATATTGGTCTCTTGTCTACCTTACCTACCATCAGCTTCACCCAGACACACTTGTGATTGATTCCAACCATTGACCAGTCCTTCTAGCCCCCGTTTACCCTGGCTTTGGATATTAGTCTTCTACGATGTATATATACATATATATATATATACATATATATGTTATATACCACAAATGAGTGCAGTCATACTATATCTGTCCCTCTCCTTCTGGCTCATGTCCATCCATTTATAGACAAATTTAATTATTTAATTTTTATTAAAAATTGGAAAGTATTCTATTGTGTAGATGTGTCATATTTCTTATTCATTCGTCTGTTCTTGGTCACTCAGATTGTTTCCAGCTTCTAGCTATTGTGAATAGTGCTGCAGTGAATATAGGAGTAGAGATGGTGTTTTTGCTATGTGTTTTTGGCCCCAAGGTATATTACCAAAACTGGTATTGCTGGGTTAAATGTGAGCTCAATATCTAGTTTTTTGAGGAACGAACATAATGTGATCCAAAAAGGCTAGACCAGTCGGTATTGAAAACCATATATTGTTCTGGGAATTGAAGCCAGGATGGTCAGACGAAATGAATGCATCTTAACCCCCGCATTAACTCTCTGGCTGAATGTGTTTGTTTATTTTTCTTTTAAATTTTTTTTTAAATTTAATTAGTGAAACACCATAAGATACAGTAGTAGACTTACAAATTTTGGGGTTTGGGTTTCAATTATACAATGATCGAGTACCCATCCCTCCACCAGTGCCCATTCTCCAC